TCAATTAGCAACAAACTCAGACTACTAAGAGCCCTAATTTTCCCCATTGCCACTTATGCCTCAGAGACATGGACATTGAAGTTGGCAATGAAACGTAAAATCGATGCTTTTGAAATGTGGTGTTATAGACGGATGCTGCGAATACCGTACACAGCTCACCGTACAAATATTTCAATACTACAACGACTGAATATCGAATCTAGACTGTCGATATCAATAAATCAGTCATACTTAAGATACTTTGGCCACATATCCAGGAACACCAATGGTCTAGAAAAACTAACTGTGGAGGGAAAAGTGAACGAGAAACGTCCTAGAGGGAGATCGTCAAACCGTTGGGTGGACTAAATGAAGACAATAATAGGTCACAGTCTGCACGAGGCCAGTACTGCTGCGTAAGACAGTACAACATGGAAAGACACCATAAATGCGTTATCATAATAGCACCATACTCTTATAGAGTAATAGGAAGGAGGAGGAGGAGGATATTTGGTAATAAATCGAAAATCAAAGGCTGTTAACACTTGTAGCGGTATAAATAAAATGGCGATCACCAGAATTCCATTATTGCAAAAAAAAAACGATATTTATAAATTGAACTACCAGGGCCATCTATATAAATACTAGTTTATAAGAAACCTAATATTAACATACAGAAACCTGTTTTAATATTATGTTAAATTAATATATTATATTTAATATTTCCCACATATTTTATTAATTATGCTACAACGTTAAGCATTTTTTTGTCTATTAGGCAAATTTGTTCATTACTAAGCCACTGCTGACAATTAGTCTCCGTTGGATTAATGCAGCAGTGTTTACAAAAATAACTATTTTATTTCGTAGATTTTCTTCCAATGGCGAAATATCCATAGGACTTTTTTGGATAAATGTAAATACATGTAATGACATTTTTTATATTTATTTTTACTAGGTGTTCCAATTTCTATGCCACAAAATATATTATTTAACTATCCAAGTTTTAAAATATTCAGCACCTAAATCATTACTTATCACTTATACAGGGTGAGTTTCCTACGATGTTCTCTATGGGTATCTCGGAAACTACTGTAGATAGAGAGTCGGTTAAATGGGGAAAGAATTGCAGTTTTGTGGGGTCATAAATATGCGCCTTTCAGATTTTTGAAAAAGTTCATGGCTTACTAGATATTTCGGAAAAAACAAATTTCGGCTATTTTAAAAATTGTCCCTAACTCCATTTTAAGCTGATTTAGACAAAAAGTTTTCAGATAAAAGTTATAGATAATCACATCCTTAATAAGACTGTGCCCTCCGTTTTCTTCTAAAGCCTGTCATTTTTGACATATGACACAAACATATGTTTTTTAAATGGAAACCATAGTTGGCCATGTCTTCATAAAAAGCGCCATTTTTTAAGCTTTTCAGCGATATAAGCTAAAATATGTTTTCTTCGAAAAATTACTGAGTTATAGCCAATTCTTATAATTTTTAAACAATTTCACTTAGTTAGCCATGGAAACAAGTTTAATCATCTTTGCTCTCGGAAATGTGAAGCTGTCACATCCAAACTTCGTAAATTAAAATAAGCAAAAATTGTAAATATGAATTTTTCAAATGAAGAAAAGCGTGTAGGATTATTAGGTTCATCTTTTCTTGACCATACATTTACGAGGATACGTTAACCGGTGAATGTTACGTTTTTTAGAGAACGGTTTTCAAGACATGTTAGAAAAGTTACATTTACTTATAGCCAATTCTGATCTTTCTTGATTAATATCAATTGGATTGCATGGTATTCTTATTCTATTATGATTTATAAAACTTTAAAAAAGTTAGAATATATTACTAAACGGTTCCTTACAATTTACATTACACAAAAATAATATCATTGCATACACTAAGTTATTTTAGAAAATATTCAAAAAATCCGCCATTGTTTTGAGTTGCATCTTTTTAAAACTGAAAAACTACCTATTCTCATAGAAGGACCGGTCGACTTAATTAAACTTCTCTCGTACCACCACATCGAGTGCCTCTCTTAATTCACAAGTTCTTTTGTAAACCTTATTGTTAACCATACCACATAAAAAAAAATCTAAAATGGATAGATCGCTGAAAAGCTTAAAAAATGGCGCTTTTTATGAAGTCATGGCCAACTATGGTTTCCATTTAAAAAAACATATGTTTGTGTCATATGTCAAAAATGACAGGCTTTAGAAGAAAACGGAGGGCACAGTCTTATTAAGGATGTGATTATCTATAACTTTTATCTGAAAACTTTTTGTCTAAATCCGCTTATAATGGAGTTAGGGACAATTTTTAAAATAGCCGAAATTTGTTTTTTCCGAAATATCTAGTAAGCCTTGAACTTTTTCAAAAATCTGAAAGGCGCATATTTATGACCCCACAAAACTGCAATTGTTTCCCTATTTAACCGACTCTCTATCTCCAGTAGTTTCCGAGATACCCATAGAGAACATCGTAGGAAACTCACCCTGTATAGTTTCTACTCTGGTTTATAAAAATAAATTTTATATTTCTTCGAACTATCCCAACGACAGACAAGTAACAATTTCAACTCTACATGTTCTAATAGATAGTTAAAAGTCCTCCAAACTCAAACTACTTCGACAAACTTTTCTCTCTCGAAATTAGGTAAGTTTCGACGAAACTAACTCGGACCGACATTATCGTTTGCGCTCAAATTTATTCCGTCCGATGGTTCTTTACGTGAACTTTTAATCAAATAATAGAAGTCGACATTAATAATGTATAAGCTTGGAACGTTGAAAAATATCGTTCGATAGTTTGCTTTTGATGTAGCGGACAGTAAATGCGATTATAAATAAACGAAGCCTTTTCTTTTTAACAGATTACGTGGAACGAAATAGGGAGCTAAATATATTAAATTTATTCTAAAGGACAAAAGGGAAATAATGGTGGGTTAAAGACGTACATATATGCTAACAGTTGATTTTTTTTTCTTTTATATTTAGTAATAATACTTAAGGAGTCAACGCCTATTAATAAAGATGTCACTATTCAGTCCTTTTAAATCCTTATTTACTAGATTGTGGAAACTCTTAAATTTTAGTTTATTTTGGGTTTTATCTAATACTTTCAAGGAGAATTTCTAATAAACAGGTAAGGCCTAAAACATTAATGGTTTAAATTATCTTAGATTTAGATTTTTGAGGTGGATATCGGCCTGTTTCACTAATTCTTTTTCGGATCTATTGTGGTCCTCTTCTGATTCTTATGTATCCGCCACTGATCATTTTAATATATAAAACATAATAATTATTCTGTTCTTTTTTTATTAGGCTTGATATACAGCTGAGCGTGCATTAGAAGTTTCTAGAGAACTACAATATCTAGATCGCAGATTTTTTGCACAGAATTGTTTCACAACGAGATCTATCGATTAAAAATATTTTCAATATGGCGGCACTTCCGGATATACCGGAAGTTGACACGAACTCTCTTATTTTAAATAGGTACCCCAATTTTTTATTACATACTTATATTCTCAGTAAAATTTTATGATTTTTGATATCAAACACTCTGTACCTAACATTAACCGTTTTTGAGAAAAAAAAATATTTAAAATTTTTGGAGGAAAAAAACTGCCTGTCAAAAAAGTTTTATAGCCTAAACGTCAAATTTAGTGATAACCACAGTCGCTGGGATATAAAGAGAATACATGTGGCTATCTATTTCAAAAATTAAATTGTTTCAATGTCATATAATATCGCCTGTAACTGTCATGGAATTGAGAGATTAAAAAACAAACATAAATACATATTTTTTTTCAAATGGAAACCAACTTTTTTTATTTCACTAAGGAATAACTCAAAAACGATTTATTTTTGGTATAGGAACACGTATAATACCTAAAATAAACCGTTTTTCAGTTGTTAAGATTTCGTTTTAAAACTTATATTTTTCTGGTTTTTAAGTAGCCTATGACTTTAAGCGTCAAGCGATGTAAAATTATATCTGGCCAATACGAGA